TATAAAGTTAAAAAAGTAAAAATAACTAAAGATAAAAGGGTGAAAGTTTTAACCGAACCCGTGATCAAATATCAAATATGTACCTCACTCTAATTAGTATTTTTTTTTCTAGTGAAATGGAATGACAAAAGAAAGGATATTTTGGTGAAAGGTTTCTTCCCAAATTGCTCTACTTAATTTTCCATATCTGCATATGACAGATTTTCGTTGCATGTAAAGTAGATACTAAAATGCAACAAAGTTAAAAATGAGGAAAACAATCTAGAATCTAATCCTTTAAAGGAGGCAGGAAAGTATAGATAATCCAAGGAAAGGACTACGTCACATACTAAAATTAGTAAATTATCAAAAAAAATTTATAGAGAGCTACTAAGAGAAGAAAAATGAATGTGAAGAAAATATGGGAATTTAAAAACCATACCTGCTGACCTGAAACTTGTGCTTCTAACTGAGAAGGCAAAAAATGCAGTAGATTCTATCTTAAATGAAATGATGCCTATCTGCATATCAAATAGATAATAAAATGTAAGATGATAAGTTAATAGATATAAAAGTGGGGAGAAAAAGCACTTCTTAATTTTGTAGTGAAAGCACTTGTTATCATTTACCTTCGAAAATAAGAGGCAATGAAGAGAAGGCAGGGAAAGTGGAATGATACTAGAACAGCACTTTTTAATCTTGCAGTGAAAGCAGTTAGTTTGCTAAGAAAGGCTTTTGCAGTGAAAACAGTTGATTTGCTGAGAGAGGCTTCTTCTGCACCTGTTAATTTTCATCGCCTAAATGACTCTGAGCGACGAACGAAAGGATAACAATATTGTTAAAGCTTCTCCACAGATAACTCGTAAGCACCTACTAGCCGGTTAGCTATACTTCCAAGATCAATTTTATTACATATCTATTAAAGTAGAAACCAAAATGCAGTAAGCAGAAAACCAACATCTAGATTCTAATCCTTTGGAAGAGGAAGAGTAAAATCCAAGAAGAAAATGGTAGAAAATAGTTTGTTAAATCATTTATTCAATAATAAATTGAAGAAAAAGCACCTTGTTTTAAATGGTTTAAATGGTTGTGCTTTTTTCAAATGACTTACTAGAATGATAAAAGAAAGAATACGCCTGATGAAAAGTTTCTTCACAAATTGCTCAGATGGCCTTTCTATCTACCTACATAAAATATTTTCATTACATATAAAGTCGAAACCAAAATACAACAAAGTCAAAAATGAGAATAGCTACAATCCAATCCTTTTGAAGAGGGGTAGGAAAATATTGTCCAAAGAAAA